CTATAATACAACAGAGCAAATTTCCCAGTCATACAGAAGATTTCTGGAGATTAATAGCAACTCAGGGTCACTGAGGTTGGTTTACTCTGCAGCCTAATGCAGGGTTCACCTATAACTGGCTTCAGAGCAGAAAATTTGACTTTGACTTGAACACATACAGTGATGGAGACCTCACATGCTTGACGCTGGGCAAACTGAGAACTTGAAAAATTTCTTCTTTACACTGAGCTGTGATCTACCCCACTTCAATGTCACCCATTGATCTTGTTTCTGCTTTCAGTCACTACATACAATTTTTTCCAGTATTTTAGGAATTCAAAAGTTTCCTCTATTGGGACCAGCAGTTGGCATAATGGCTATGTCGCTGGACTCCCACGTAGTCGACTGCGGTTCGAGTCCCAGACCTGGTGGCTTAAACTCACGCAGGGCGCATGTGTGTGAGTGCCCAAGATCCTGAGAGGAGAATGGGGGAGAAGGGATTGCGGTGTGGCCATCCCCCCTGGGGGGTTGATTTCTTGCTTTCTGTCTCTCTGTCTGTCTGGCAAGCACACGCACCCTATAGCAAAAAAACTCTCTCTCTCAAAAAAAAGTTGCCTCTATTGTCCATTCTTAAAGTCCCTTATGCTAAACATTCTAGTTTCATCTACAATTTTTTTAGAAAGTTATCTCAAATCTACTTTTTACTCCAACCCTTTAGAATGGTTCTCTTGAAATAGAGTCCAGAACTATGTGCTATGTTGCAAAAAGGTCTGACCAATATCTGGAAAGAGAACGATTTTCTTTCTTCTTTTCTTCATTCAAGATAGAGTGCATGAGCATGCACGAGAGAGAGGAGCACCCTGCACAGTGTCTGGTCACACCGTGATCCCCTTCCTCCAGTCCTCCAGCCTGTCAGATCTTGGATAGCTGTGTGCATGCAAAGCGTGTTCTGGGCAGATCAGCTGAGGATTTGAATCATGGTCACCGCGTGGGATCTGATTTCTTTTGGGCAGTGCGTTACCATAGTGCCCTGAGCTGCCTGTAATTCTCTTTCTTAAACTGTCACTCTGCCACCAGGATGCCACTGACACCACCAAGAGCATTACTCTTAGAAATAGTGTTGCGTTTTGTGGTCACCAGAAACCCCTAACCATGGTTTATCAAGGTTGCCTTCATGCTCCACTTTTTACAAACAAAATAGACATTCTCATATCAAAACACCGTGTTTTCCTCTACCTTAATTGCTTAGATGATCTTTGCAGTTTCTGTAAACTTTTCAGAATACTAGTTTGCCATTCATTGTGTCATCTTTTCTTCAAGTTTTGTGGTGTCTACAAATGTATTAAGAATGTCCTTTTTTTTTTTTTTTGATATAGGATACATGGTTCAAGAGAGAGAGAGAGAGAGAGAAAGTGAGAACACATACCCCAGGGGGAATGGGCAGGCCAAGCCACAATCCCTTCTCCTCTTTTTTTCTCTTGTGATTTTGGGTATGCAAGCACATGCATCCGGCATGTTTTTCAAGTTATTGAATCCAGTACTCAAACCACACAGTTGGCCAGGTGGTTTCCATTCACTTTAACTACATCACCACTTGCTGGCCCAGGCTACCTTACTCAGTTGCAAGTTAATTGAAGGAAACAATTGGTTTGTGTTCACCAAATATAAGCTTTCCTCAGTAGATTCACTAATCATAGTCCTTTACTAAGTCACTTTACAATGTCTTTCAATTCACATTTAACCATCTGATTTACAGCATAGAGAAGAGAATAGCATTACGTTCTGCTTCAGAACACATTTATTTTCTTTCCTTTTCTCCTTTTACTCACTCTATTCTCCCCCGCCCCCAACACACACTCTCCCTGTAGGGCACGTGTGCTCACTGGAAAGAGACACAGAAAGAGAAAGCAAGAAATAACCCTCCTGAAGAGGTTGTGGCCTGGCCATCCCACTTCTCCATTATCCTCAGGATTTTAGGCATGCACTCACTCAACCAGTTGGGTCTAGGACTCGATCCACTATTGACCATGCAGGAGTCCAGTGCCTTAACTACCACATCATCTGCTGGTCCTTTCTTTATATCCAACTCTATTTTCCTCCTTCCTTTATGTATTCATACTACTTCCTGATTGTATCTATGGTCTTTTATTTTGTGTGTTCATTTTACTGTGAAGACCCTCTGTTGTGTTTAGGAGACTCTTTTGCCTTCCTGCAGCCTGAACTCAGTCTGTGCTTGTCCCAAGAGGCTCTTTGCCACATGCAGAATAGCAGCCTCTATGCAGAGGAAAGGTTTTCCTCAGGTTCATTAGCATTTGGCAGAGGCATCTCTGAGAATTTCATCAACATCCCCAGAACAGTTTATTTTCCTCCACCTCCAGAATTACTCAAACATCAAAGAAGGGTTTAAAGAAAATTCAGACATACAGTATACATATGTTTAGGGGTAGAGGAGTGGTGTGGGGAGAAATAATTAGATGGGCCTCAACACACTTTATACTCCAATCTCAGCATTATTGCACTTATAACTAACTATGACTCTCTCTTAAGTGCCAGTAGCCTCAGATGTTCCTGAGCTTGTAGGTGACATTTTCCCTGTGTCTTCACACCATTTTCCTTCTGTGCATCTCTCTGGGTCCAAATTTCCCCTTTTAGTAAGGATGCAGTCATACTGGCTTAGAGTCCATACAAACAACCTCATCTTTTTTTTTTTTGGAGAGGTTTTTGCTATAGGGCACATGCGCTCGCCAGACAGACAGAGAGAGACATAGAGACAGAAAGCGAGAAATCACCCCCCAGAGGGTATGGTCACGCCGCAATCTCTTCTCCTCCATTCTCCTCTCGGGATCTTGGGCATGCACACACACATGCCTGGCGTGAGTTTTAAGCCACCTGGTCCGGGACACGAACCGCGGTCAACTACGTGGGAGTCCAGTGACATAGCCATTATGCTAACTGCTGGTTCCCACCACATGCAGTTGTGAGGTTTAGTTATTCATGTATATAAGACTCTGGTGGAGTGACTGATTAGCTACCCAATAAACTCTCTTCCCTTTCCTTTAATATTTAGACCTTTTTCCCTCTGTGCAATTTATAGTAAAATGAAATAAATTGCATTTATTAATAGCAAATTCCGCTTGAAGCCTTGGGTCAACAAGAATGTGAGTGATCTGTGTTTGTGATGGAACTAAAGTATTTAAATATTATTACAACTGATCAAATATTTTTGCAAGATAATCCACCAAGCCCAAGGATGTCATTCTTCGCCAAACAGCACTTAGAGGCTTGCTGACTGCAGTGCCTGCAAATTCAGACATTTCTCAAATTTTTTGTTTTACAGCAAACACGAACAATGACTTCCTTTCATTTATCAGTGGTAACTGAAACAGTTTTCAGTAATACTTAGCTAAAGTTCACAAATTGATTTTCCAGAATATACAAAATTAATATAATTTTTATATTAAATATATAATATATAAATATATTAAATATATAATATATAACTATATTAAATACCCCTATATATATGGAAGTTGAGCTTATATGCTGCTTTAACAGTGCAGACCAAAGGGAAATGAAGGGTAATCATATAGATTGAATATAGTTGTCGTAGTCGCCTTCTGACTAGTACTCTACATTTAAAGTGATTTTGAAAAAAAAAAATCTGAATATGGATGGCTGTGGAACAGCCCAGGCATATAGGGAATGGTTACTCATAAATTCGTTCACTTTGGCAATTATTAATGAGTACCTAATGTTTGCAGTTACTATGCCTGGGGCTTTAAGGTGAAACTACCTATTTCCCCAACATCAATGAGTTTGCTCTAATGAGAAAGATACGTAAACAGAGGCAGTTTTATCATTGATCCAAGAGAAAGCGATCCAAGAGTGATGGGGGAATATGAAAAAAATACAGCCAAGTCTACATGAATAATTTGGGTTGTCCTCAGAGGGGAGGCAAGTTGATACCAGAAGGATGATGAGAGATGATTAAGGCGTGTGAGTAGAATGAAGATGTTTGATAGCAAGAACAAAATGGAAAAAGCCATGCTTGAGGGAATAAAGAGTAGGTTGGCATTCTTAAAGCATTGATTACTGGGAAAGGCAAAAGTGCTTAAGAGCCAGTGAGAAATGATTCCCAAAAGGTAGGGAGAAGTCAGGTCACATGAGCCTTGAATAGCAGGCAAAGGTCTACCTGTATTTTTCCTCTCTCTGTTGGTTGTGGGAGAAGTTACTAAAAAAATTTGAGTAGAGAAATTCCATAATAATAATGTCAGGTTCCTAAAGAAGACTAACGAGACTAACAGATGGCGTAATGGTTATGTCGATAGACTCCCACATGGTTGACCGCAATCTGAATCCCAGACCCAGGGACTTGAAACTCACACTGGGCATGTGTGAGTGTGTGCCCAAGATCCTGAGAGGAGAATGGAGGAGAAGGGATTGCAGCATGGCCATCCCCACTGTGGTTGGGGGGGTGGTGGTGGTGATTTCTGGCTTCCTGTCTCTGTCTCTCTGACAGGTGCACATGCCTTGTGGTAAAATCTCTTAAAAAAAAGAATACTAACAATATTGTTATTGTTTTGTTGTTTACAAGTCATAGAAATATAACCTACACAACCTTTTGTTCCTTAGGATTTTCAATGGTTCTCATTGTAATAGAGTTCAGGGATTGCCAAAAGCAATATTTGAACTAAATGGCACATCAGAATTATAATAAGAGCCTGTAGCAGATTTCCAGTTAACAAGTTTTTAATAAGGTGTGATGTAATCCATAACAGAAGAGATTTCGTTATGAAAGATAGCCTGTCTCTAATGGAAATTTGGCTGGGTATGTTTTTATTGCTCAATGAGTTGAAAGCCTTAGATAGAATTACATAATTGAGATTAGAGAAGAACACACATACCAGCGAAAACTTTCCACACATTTTCTTTATTCCTTGCAGCTAAGCAGTGAGCCTTTAAGAAATAAATTTCACTTAAATTGAGCATACTTTTTTGTTTTTTGTTTTTTGTAATTTCAGGGGTTAAACATCTGAAAGGTCAGCATGAATCAGCATTCCCTGAGGAAGAAGAAGGCGTAAATGAAAGAGGAGAACAGTGGGACCATTAATTACATCTCTGCAGCAAGAAGGCTTCTTGGGAATAATGGAACTATTAACTTTTCTGAATATACATGGAACTCCACTGCTTGAATCCAGAACTCTCTGTCTCTGCACTCCACTCTCCTTCAGTAGTAATACACCTCCTTCCTAGAAGCTCTTCTTGACTGAACTTTAGAACTAAGTGCAAATTGTTCCACATTACTTACAATTACATGATAAGCATTTATTTTACAGTGATATTTTCTTTTTAACTTCATAGAAATTTGCCAATGTGACTGTCCTAACTTTAATACTGCCAGAGCTTAATCCCTGATGGCCTGCTGACATGGTTTTCACTCTAAGGTCAATGTAAATAGCATCACTTTATGAGTAAAAAAATAAATATTAAATACATTTAGACACGAGCGTATGTGTTTGTGTAGGGGAGGGCTTAATGTGAAGATCATCGAATTAAACTTTTAAGTTAAGATCTGCATTTATCACATTTCTGTACACAGAATAGAATATATTGTTCAGCTTAAAATGATGTAGAAATACCAGATTTTTAAATTGAAATCACAACAATAAGAGATATTGAGTATCTCTTTTCTTCTTTTCCCTACAACTAGAATGGAGGTGCAGCTGCACTGGTGCAGCAGCAGGCAATGCTCTGCAAAACTGAGGGCCATATAGAAGATGGGCATTTGGTTCCTGGTTGACCTGTGTGAGCATGCTCATGATGCTGGCTGACTGGAAAGCTGAGGAGGAGCCTAATGTGAAACCCTAGTGAGGGCGCAGGTCTCTTTCTTTGTTTTTAAAGAAAGAAATAGACACAATTTTTAAAAACCTACAATATATATTAAGTCAAAACACTAAATATTACTGACAAGTGAAGATAGGATCAGCCTAGTCAGTGCTACCTGTCTTAGTGAACATTTGCTATTCGAGGGTTTCCTCATTGAGTTTAGAATCAGAGCTTGGTCATTTGTTACGTGATTGGAGTGTGCACTGGGATCAGGCTACTTTAGCTTGTGGTGACCATTACTTCAGTAGGAGAGTTCCCTGCCCAGGGGACAGAGCCTTCTGAAATGTCAGTACAGGATGTCCTTCTCTGCACACCCTTAAAATCACAGACAGCAGTCACTCCCATGGCTATAAATGCAACTCTCCTTTTGTTATTTTTAGTGCTTTTGAGGCTAACCACTGACTCCTACTGATCGATGCATTTGTATTATAGTATGCTATCGTGTTCAGTCAATTGCAGTCAGGTCTCGCAGGCTAGGGAGCCATTCTGTCTCTTTCTAAAGTGAAATTGCCTAACACTGTTTAGCTCCATTATGTGGAGGCTTAAAAACTTTACTTTTAAATTCATGGGGAATGCATTAGCTTCCACAGAAAAAAGTGGTGTTAGAAGGGCACTCAACCATGGAGGGCAAAAGAGCCATTCACCCTGGGTTGAGCAGCAGGATTCTCAGAAAATAAAATTCCATACATTTCATAAAATTCATACATTTCATGTATATATACATACATTTTTCCTGGGCAGCACCAACCTCAGACTTACATTTTGATAAAGGATACCAGATTATGCTGCAAAGATATTGTTTGAATTCATACTTCTAACAATGGTATGTAACAGTAATATCTTCTCCCTGCTTCTCAGTGTTTACTGCTAAATCCTGCATCTTAGCTTTATTGTATTTAACTCATAGTACTCAATGTCTACTCTGCCTCATTTCCATTATTATTTTTTTTTTTTCCTTCTCCCAGAGGCAAGTCCCAGGTTTGGGCACAGCAGAAAGAAAGGGTGTCTGTTTTCTAATTATCCAATTATTATCTATAACTTGGTTCAGATCTGGAGTGTTCATGGCCAAGATTAAATTCTACATCTTTGGGGTCAGCAGATGGTGTAGTGTTTACACTGCTGGACTCCCATGTGGTCAACTGCGGTTCGAATCCTGGACCCAGTGACTTGAAAATATCTCTGGGAGCATGTGCATGCAAACTCAAGATCCCAGAAGAAGAATGAGGAGAGGAGATTGTGGCATGGCCACCCTCTCCAGGAGGTGATTTCTCACTTTCCTTCTCATTTTCTCTATCTCTCTGGTAAGCATGAGTGCCCTAAGGCAAAAAAACTCTTAAAAAAATGTACATCCTCTTGACCCCAAATTCTATTAAAAAGAATAAGAACTACAAAAACAATTTTAAAAAAGTTACATCTAAGTCTATCTGCTATGTAAAGTGCTCTAATAATGGAAAGAACCCTGGGTCCCACATAACCATGTTTTTCTTCTGTTTCTAACTTTAGAAAAGATCAGTGACTGTGGAAGATTAAGTCCTGGTGACCTAGGTAGAGAGGCCCCAGTAGGAGCTGGGGCCAAGGTCTGTGTCCCAGTTCAATCAGTGATTACTGTGTGCATTTAAGCAGTCACGTCACCATCTCAAACTGTTACTTCTTTTTTAAAGTAAAGAAATTAGGCTAATGTTTATATTCGTAATTATTTGGGAGTCAGAGACCCCTCTGAGATTTTGCCAAAAACTGTGGACCTTCTTCCCCCAAAAGCACAAAAACAACTGTAGATAGAATTCCAAGAGGATCAGAGGATCTCTAAAATCAACCCACAGATTCCCTAGAGAACTTTAGAATGATTTCTTAGGTCTGAAATACGTGGTTGAACAACAACAACAAATCTATTTACATCTGCTAATCCTAATGTGAGTTAGTTTTAAAATGTGGATTTGGGTCATGAAGTCATTTGAAGTTATAATTACTTTTTCTGCATTCTATAATACAACAGAGCAAATTTCCCAGTCATACAGAAGATTTCTGGAGATTAATAGCAACTCAGGGTCACTGAGGTTGGTTTACTCTGCAGCCTAATGCAGGGTTCACCTATAACTGGCTTCAGAGCAGAAAATTTGACTTTGACTTGAACACATACAGTGATGGAGACCTCACATGCTTGACGCTGGGCAAACTGAGAACTTGAAAAATTTCTTCTTTACACTGAGCTGTGATCTACCCCACTTCAATGTCACCCATTGATCTTGTTTCTGCTTTCAGTCACTACATACAATTTTTTCCAGTATTTTAGGAATTCAAAAGTTTCCTCTATTGGGACCAGCAGTTGGCATAATGGCTATGTCGCTGGACTCCCACGTAGTCGACTGCGGTTCGAGTCCCAGACCTGGTGGCTTAAACTCACGCTGGGCGCATGTGTGGGAGTGCCCAAGATCCTGAGAGGAGAATGGGGGAGAAGGGATTGCGGTGTGGCCATCCCCCCTGGGGGGTTGATTTCTTGCTTTCTGTCTCTCTGTCTGTCTGGCAAGCACACGCACCCTATAGCAAAAAAACTCTCTCTCTCAAAAAAAAGTTGCCTCTATTGTCCATTCTTAAAGTCCCTTATGCTAAACATTCTAGTTTCATCTACAATTTTTTTAGAAAGTTATCTCAAATCTACTTTTTACTCCAACCCTTTAGAATGGTTCTCTTGAAATAGAGTCCAGAACTATGTGCTATGTTGCAAAAAGGTCTGACCAATATCTGGAAAGAGAACGATTTTCTTTCTTCTTTTCTTCATTCAAGATAGAGTGCATGAGCATGCACGAGAGAGAGGAGCACCCTGCACAGTGTCTGGTCACACCGTGATCCCCTTCCTCCAGTCCTCCAGCCTGTCAGATCTTGGATAGCTGTGTGCATGCAAAGCGTGTTCTGGGCAGATCAGCTGAGGATTTGAATCATGGTCACCGCGTGGGATCTGATTTCTTTTGGGCAGTGCGTTACCATAGTGCCCTGAGCTGCCTGTAATTCTCTTTCTTAAACTGTCACTCTGCCACCAGGATGCCACTGACACCACCAAGAGCATTACTCTTAGAAATAGTGTTGCGTTTTGTGGTCACCAGAAACCCCTAACCATGGTTTATCAAGGTTGCCTTCATGCTCCACTTTTTACAAACAAAATAGACATTCTCATATCAAAACACCGTGTTTTCCTCTACCTTAATTGCTTAGATGATCTTTGCAGTTTCTGTAAACTTTTCAGAATACTAGTTTGCCATTCATTGTGTCATCTTTTCTTCAAGTTTTGTGGTGTCTACAAATGTATTAAGAATGTCCTTTTTTTTTTTTTTGATATAGGATACATGGTTCAAGAGAGAGAGAGAGAGAGAGAAAGTGAGAACACATACCCCAGGGGGAATGGGCAGGCCAAGCCACAATCCCTTCTCCTCTTTTTTTCTCTTGTGATTTTGGGTATGCAAGCACATGCATCCGGCATGTTTTTCAAGTTATTGAATCCAGTACTCAAACCACACAGTTGGCCAGGTGGTTTCCATTCACTTTAACTACATCACCACTTGCTGGCCCAGGCTACCTTACTCAGTTGCAAGTTAATTGAAGGAAACAATTGGTTTGTGTTCACCAAATATAAGCTTTCCTCAGTAGATTCACTAATCATAGTCCTTTACTAAGTCACTTTACAATGTCTTTCAATTCACATTTAACCATCTGATTTACAGCATAGAGAAGAGAATAGCATTACGTTCTGCTTCAGAACACATTTATTTTCTTTCCTTTTCTCCTTTTACTCACTCTATTCTCCCCCGCCCCCAACACACACTCTCCCTGTAGGGCACGTGTGCTCACTGGAAAGAGACACAGAAAGAGAAAGCAAGAAATAACCCTCCTGAAGAGGTTGTGGCCTGGCCATCCCACTTCTCCATTATCCTCAGGATTTTAGGCATGCACTCACTCAACCAGTTGGGTCTAGGACTCGATCCACTATTGACCATGCAGGAGTCCAGTGCCTTAACTACCACATCATCTGCTGGTCCTTTCTTTATATCCAACTCTATTTTCCTCCTTCCTTTATGTATTCATACTACTTCCTGATTGTATCTATGGTCTTTTATTTTGTGTGTTCATTTTACTGTGAAGACCCTCTGTTGTGTTTAGGAGACTCTTTTGCCTTCCTGCAGCCTGAACTCAGTCTGTGCTTGTCCCAAGAGGCTCTTTGCCACATGCAGAATAGCAGCCTCTATGCAGAGGAAAGGTTTTCCTCAGGTTCATTAGCATTTGGCAGAGGCATCTCTGAGAATTTCATCAACATCCCCAGAACAGTTTATTTTCCTCCACCTCCAGAATTACTCAAACATCAAAGAAGGGTTTAAAGAAAATTCAGACATACAGTATACATATGTTTAGGGGTAGAGGAGTGGTGTGGGGAGAAATAATTAGATGGGCCTCAACACACTTTATACTCCAATCTCAGCATTATTGCACTTATAACTAACTATGACTCTCTCTTAAGTGCCAGTAGCCTCAGATGTTCCTGAGCTTGTAGGTGACATTTTCCCTGTGTCTTCACACCATTTTCCTTCTGTGCATCTCTCTGGGTCCAAATTTCCCCTTTTAGTAAGGATGCAGTCATACTGGCTTAGAGTCCA